CCTTTCCCGGCCAACCCTAAACCCTTTCCCGCCAAACCCTAAACCCTAAACCCTAAACCCTAGCCCCTAAACGCGTGGGCGCCTGGCCCCATATACTCTCCCGCGGCTTCCGCAGGCTTCCCACCCCCAAACCCTAAACCCCAAACCCTAAACCCTAAACCCCAAACCCTAAACCCTAAACCCTAATTTGTGGTTTGCGGCGCCAGGCACAAGGAGGGCCTGCGGCGGGGGGACCCGGTGGCTGCAGTGGGAGTTTACTTCGAGGCGCTGCTGCTGCAGCTGCCAAGAGTTGCTGCAGAAGCTTTAAAACCTTTTTTAATTTCTTTAAATTTATTTTCTTTTTTGGAACTGACAGTTGCCAGCGAGGCCTTCGGGTGTACAGACATCTTGGCCGACTGCTGCAGAGTCCTCGCCGACTGCGCCTTCGCCGTTTTCTCCAGTCCGAATTTATTTTCTTTTTTATTTTTTCTTCTTTTTTGTTCTTTTTAATCATTTTTTTCCTTTTTTGTTTTATTTTATTTCTTTTCATTTATTTTTATTTCTTTTTGGGCTTTTTTTGGTCTCCTTTTCGTTTTTTTCCCCCCTTTATTGCCCCCTTTGCCGTTTTCTCCAGTCCGAATTCTTTTTCTTATTTTTTGTTCTTTTTTTGTTCTTTTTTGTTCTTTTTAATCATTTTTTTCCTTTTTTGTTTTATTTTATTTCTTTTTCTTTCCTTTTATTTCTTTTTTGGCTTTTTTTGGTCTCCTTTTGGCTTTTTTTCACTCTTTTTTTGCCCCCTTCGCCGTTTTCTCCAGTCCGAATTCATTATTTTTAATTTTTTGGCCTCTTTTTTGTTCTTTTTTGTTCTTTTCCATCATTTATTCCTTTTTGTTTTATTTATTTTTATTTCTTTTTATTTCTTTTTATTTCTTTTTATTTCCTTTTTGTCATTTTTTGGGTATCTTTTTGGCATTTTTTCCCTTTTATTTTCCCCTTCTGCAGTCTTTTTGATTCCCTTTTATTCTTTTTTGTTCTTTTTAAATTTCTTTTTCTTTTTGTTTTATTTTATTTATTTATTTTATTTTATTTATTTATATTTATTTATTTATTTTTATTTCTTTTTTGGGTTTTTCGATTTCTTTTTGGTTCATTTTCACTTTTTTTAACTCCCGTCGGCATCTTCTCCAGTCCGAAGTTGCATTTTATCTTTTCTTCTTTTTTTTTAATTCTTTTTTAATTTATTTTTACTTCTTTTTAATTTATTTTTAATTCTTTTTATTTTATTTTTACTTCTTTTGCTTTATTTTATTTCTTTTGTTTTATTTTATTCTCTTTTATTTCCTTTTCGGCTTTTTTTGATTCTTTTTTTGGATTTTTCTTCAGTCCTGGAGTCGGAAATAAAGCATTTAAAACATTTTATTTTTCATTTTTTGATTCTTTTTAACTCTTTTTAATTCATTTTAACTTTCTTTATTTCATTTTTTTAATTTTATTTATTTATTTCCTTTTTTGTTTTTTATTTATTTCATTTTAACTTTCTCTATTTCATTTGTTTTATTTTATTTATTTATTTCCTTTTTTGTTTTTTATTTATTTCATTTTAACTTTCT